CTGAACAACTTGTACTGCATTTATTATTCAAATTATTCAAATGATTTGCAAAACATATTTATGGTTTAGTTTCTCAAAATATGTATGTATACACATATATGTACACATAAAGACATCGGAAGTAGTTTTGTCTTCTCTTAATCACTTACAGTTGAAAATAAATGATTGCAATATACCACGGACTGTTTTGCTTCTGTAAGAAACCTCTACAACTGTTACAAGTGTACTTTATACATTTTGGGGTACATAGTGACTCTCAAGTTCACAAAATTTGTGTTCTTATTATCCATCATTACCCTCTTCCAAAGGTGATTGCAGCAAGAATGGGGTTGGTCTCTTCTCACTGGCGACAGGACAAGGGTAAATGGCCTTAAGTTGCACCAAGGTAAGTTTAGGTTGGATATCTGGAAACACTTCTTTACAGAAAGTGTTGTTAAGAACTGGAATAAATTCCCCAGAGAGGTGGTTGAGTCACCAGTCTTGAATGTGTTTTAAAACCATGTAGGTGTGGTGCTCGGGGACACAGTTTAGTGGAGGGCTGTTAGAGTTAGGGTAGTACGGTTAGCTTTGCAGTTGGACTTAATGATCTCTAACGTCTTTTGTAACCCGAGAAATACTATGATTCCACTCAAACCACTCTGGAAGCAAGAAAACAGGCACAATATTTGATGTATGGTTACGCTTAAAAGTAAGTAAGTAAGTAAGTAAATAAATGGGGTTACAGATTTCTACGTCAGAAATGTGGACATCTCTATGTGGTCTCTGAAGTTCAGGGTAACCTGAGGCACAGCATCCTAATTTCGCTTTGTTTTTGTAGAGAATTCGATCAGACAGAAAGGACTTCAGACATCTTGTCTAACTGATACTGGTCATGTGATGTTGTCATAAAAGAAAGTGAAATATATAAAGACTATGGAATGGGAACATTACTAAAGCCATTAACATTAAGAAGATATGCAAAGTTTTCTAATTTCAGTGGGATTGAGATAGCATCATTTGCAAGTGTCTGCAAGTGTCCATAAACTATGATTTCAGTCACTAGATTTACAGCAGCAGTTCCCTCTTCTCCCATTGTCAATGGTTTAGCAATGTCTATATTTGCCAATCTTTGTCTCTCTATCTGAGACGAATACAGTTTATGTTGCTTCTCCTATTGCTGCAGTAGTTCCAAAACCATTAGACCAAAGTCAGAGACCAATTAAGCTTGATGTTGTAAGTGAATGTTTTTGCTCTAAAGACCACATGAATAATAATAATTAAAAAAAAAAAAAAAAAAAAAAAAAAAAACAACGAAAAACACAATATAAAAGGGAGAGAAAATACGGAGCTCAAGTGTCATTATTTACGTTTCACAGAAGAAAAAATATTGTATATACTACAGACACATTTAGATGCATTGTAAACTAAAGGCATTGGTAAGTGTAGAGCTGGGAGACGGATCACCTGCGATTCAGTGCCTAAATAGAAGACAATTCCTCGATTTGTGCATCCCATCAACACCTTTTTAAACTACTCTGTTGAACTTTGCAGGAAGTGACTTGCAAAACAAAGATAAAATATATTAGTTGTTATGGTATCATAGTCACATTCCTGTTTTCCAGGGATCTTATTGCTTACAGATAAGGGACAAGAAGAATAATTACCTTCACAGTTTGGAAGTACCTTAGTACAACATTAGATACAGATATCTATGAAATACATTTTCTATATATATTTTTTTTTCCCCACAAAATATTTCTTTCAGTTAAAGTCTTGGATTTTCCCTATTCCTAGAATAACTTGTTTTGTTCTTTCACAGGGCGTGTAACAAAGGTTTCTCTGAATTCAGATAAAGACTGAATATGTCTCTAGACAAAGGCTATTTACATACAGGACAACGCTGAATCCTTACAAGAGTAATTTGACTAGGCTTTCCCATGTTTCAATGCAGCCATTATTGAATGTTGCATTGAATCCCTGCAAGCAATTCCCCATGTTCCTTACTATACTCCTGCCTTTGGAAATGCTACCTCAAGCTGGAGCCACATATTCCTACATTCTAACACAGTTCTTCCACCTGGGAAGACTGCAATAAAAACGGATACAGTTGATATCAGTTGGCAGAGCTCAGAGAATAATAATAGTAATAATAAAAGATAGCAGAAAAGCTTTATTCTGGAGTTGTTTTTTGGACATCTGCAGCCAGATGGTCACCTCAGGGAATTTTCTGGAGATTGCTGTGGTTCAAGCTATGTCTCCACAAGAAGGCACGTTTCTGGTGTATGGTAGGCTTGTTTTTCTCTATTTCCTAGTAAAGAAATGGTCTTAAAGGAAACACACCTTACAGCACCTCACAAGAGTAAGCGACATGCATACAGTCTGTTTTTATACCAGATGCAAAAAGTTTGGCTTTCTTTTTACTAGTTTCCAATGAGATTACAAAAGCAGATCTACTACTTACGAATGTGAGCAGGAATAAACTTGCAATATACAGCTTCAACCCAAATACAAACTACACTGCCTGGTAGACCAAACTGGGGTCTACTGAAATTAACATCCCTGACTAGCTGCATCATATTGAAGGTAGGACAGCCTGCATCTCTCTAAATAACAACAACAAAAAAGTTAGAAAGTTTCTCTCCCTTTTCTTAAAAAGAACATTATTCTTTTTTCATAGCGTTACTTTGGGTTCGAAAAGCACTCCGAGAGACGGTCAGCTAGCCTCTCTGCAATACAGGGAAATACATCACTCCTTTCAGAAATGGATAATAAACACCTAATTACATTTCGCCATACTGATTGTATTTTAAGCCATTCCTTGAGATCGACAAATACACAAAATAGCATAAAATGGCTTTGAAATTCAGAAAATAACTATTATATATAAAGTCTTCTTAAAAGCTTTCACTGAGTTTTGGCTGCAAAGGAACACATTTAAGAAGTATCATGTCAGGTTCAGTCCTCTAGTTTTTACCTAGCTATTTTCAACTTTTATCTCTGTTGTTTTTCTCAGACTCTATCTTTCCCTCTTCAGTGCGGCTTTCCTTTGATGTCCGCATTTTGAAACATCAGAAAAGTTAAGAGACTGTGTTCTGCCTTTTTCCATGCACCTCAAAGATCCTGGAAACCCCAGGGATCTTCTAATAATAAACAGCAGCTTCCCAATACAGAAGGTGTCTTTGGGACAGATTCTACTGTGAATGAATTTCTGTTTCTTTAGTAGTTCCGTACAGACAACTGCACTTTTCTAGTTCCGTACAGACAACTGCACTTTTCTTCTACTTTCATGGACACTTTCAAACCATTCCTATTCACTGCAACTGAAACCATCTACTGCATATTAAAAATGTCAGTATTTGGCCCCCTGGCTGTTAGCATGTCCATATTTTGCAGCAGATCTCTCTATTCCTTTTTTTTTTTTTTTTTTTTACCTTATCTTCTTTTCGTGATTCTGAGACTGTTGTACACTATACAGAAAATAAATCTTAATTTGGAGTCCTTAAGAAATGAATTGTGCAATGCAGTTTTATGGCTCCAGTAAAAGTCCCATGTATCCAATCCTATATTTTCTTTTAGGCACTTCTTAGTTTATCATGGCTAGTAAGTGTAACAAAGCTATTCTCAGGATTCTTGTAGTAATAGTCTCAGGTTATACACTTCCAATTATCACAAAATCATCACCTCTAATGCACTTTATTTTTGCAAAGCTCAAATGAATAAGAGAAGGGATATTATTCCTTTGTATGTGTCATGGTTCTATGTTTTTGTTTTTGTTTTTGTTTTTGGGTTTCAGTATTCCACATCAAAACATCATGTAGTGTACAGGGCATTAAAGTGTCACTGCCCAATCCCAGCTACCTATCCCTGTACATTACAGAAGTCACGGGATCTGGCCCTTCCGGGTGGGGGGGGCGCTCTCTTGCTGCCTTGCAGTGGGTGCTGGAGGGTGCTTTCCTAGCCGTTCCAAGCTTTTCAGGTTTGAATCGGTCCCGGGAACTCTCTCTCTCTCTCATCTTGTCTGATTTATTAATCCCAATTGCAATTAAATTGTATCTATTGTGTTATCTTGTATTCCGATATTATAGTAAAATAAGTTTTCCTCCATAGATTGTTGCCGCTGCTCTTTTCCTCCCTTCCTTCCTTCCCATTTTTGTGGGACTGGGGTGGGGGGGGAGGGCAGAGGCCTGTCACCCCTGTCACGGACATAGATTGATCTGGTCAACTCCGTGACAGTATGTTTAAGAAAAACGGCAGAATAAAAGTTTGGAATACTAGAGTTAATCTAACTTTAGCTCGAGCTTCTTTTGAAATGAATTGTTTATTCCCAACTTGGGTGTTGTTATATGCATCATCCTCTGATAATGTTTATCACCGTGAATAACACTACTGAAACAGAGCTTGCTTTCATTTCCATATGTAGTTGCTCCATTACTCACTCTTTTATTTGAAAAATCATTGTTTTTATTGGCTTTGGCAGAGGAAATTTAACCATATATATAGCATTTACTAGAAGGTAAGAGTCTGTCCTCTTATATGTGCAACTTAATCTGATTACTAAACAAAGGTCTGATTTTTCCGTAAATGAATAATTTTTGCTAAATACTTGTTTATCCTTTTGCAGTTATTAAATAGGGGCCCACCCACATGACTGTTCCCCCCCATTTTTTCCTTCTTTTTTCTTCTTTTATTGCCCTGACATTTAACATTATCCTTGTGTATCTGTTCCCATAGAATGTTTTTTTTAGGTCTTGGTGTTGATTCTGTCTGATAGCTTTGATGAGTAAAAGTTTGACTCATTCAATCAGATCCTAAATGTACAAAACAGATGTCTATTTGATGCTAATTGGCATAGAGGTCTGTTTCAGACAATTATGAACTTAGGCCAACTCTGGCACCAGCGTGGACTGTTTTTACCCTCATCCTCCAGATGTCCTATAGTTTCATATGCCCACCCAGTAATGTTAAATAGCACGGGATACAATTACTAAATTGTTGGCAAGTTTTAATTACTTTGTGCTCATTTTCCAGATAAACGAATTTTTCTGCCTGCATTATTTTAAATAATTGTATGGTTAACATAAGCATAAAGTCATTCTTTTAAGATTTAGAAAAACATACACCACATATGCTTTCTCTCATACTCATGCATACCATTTGTACTTTGTTCACCTTCCATCTCTTCAACACACAACAATTATGCAGAGGATAATATCCCTGTGTCAGCCACGAATAATTTGAGCTTTCCTCTACTCTGCCACCATATCTTCTTTGAGTTGCTCAAAAGATCCTGAATATTCAGTCTGCAAATCAGGGATCCCTTCTGCTTCAGCTTCTGGTTCTGCTTCTGGTACATGGACTTCACGTTGCTGAGTTTTATTCTTCTGAAGAGGCAAAAAGGTCCTATACCAGTGCAGCAATTGAATGGGACAGCTGATTAGTTCCAGGTTCTATTAATTAGATATTAATAATTGCTTTGTATGCTTGTTCTCTTTCTGGTCAGCTCTTCCTATAGCCTTATTGATACTATACCTATTGACAGTATAGAGCAATGAAACATTTCTATAAAAGGATATAAAAGGATAATTTTCTATAAAAGGAGTATACAGAGGAGTATTCCCACCTGAAGAAAAAGAAGAAAAGATCAATCAACAGTTCAGTTCGATTCTGCAGTTAGAGTAAGACCAGTTTTGCTCTTTTCCATAGTTATGGCAAAAGCGTAGTAATCAATTCCTCAGATGAATGAGCAGTGATACTTGCTAATTCTGAAAGATGTTTGCTTTCTTAGCTGTTCTTGCTCAGTAACAAGCACTTAGAAGTTCGCCCAGGGCTGGGTGAAAAGTGGAAAAATTAGAAATAAACATATGTTAATTAGTCTCATTAGAAATTCTTTGCACATGCTACAATTAAATTACTTGTAGTTGCCTTGAAGAAAGTTAAAAGACTGTCCTTATTATAACAGTTTCTTAATTGCTCTTTACATTAGAAATGGGAAACAGCTGCGTATGTTTTGGTGTTTTTTTTTTTTTTTGTTTTGTTTTTTTTAAAGTTGCTTTTTGTTAAAGATGAAGTTTGGTAACTGGTATGAGATCAAGCATACCAGGAAGAAAAGGAAGACTGGACATAATAAAAAGTCACATTTTTAACATTTCAAACATTCCCCACAGGAAAAATTATAGACAGAAGGAGCACGATAAATTTGACTGATCTTTTTAATGCAGATCTGAGACTAAACCATGCAGCAAGACATTTCCCCATTTGTGGGCAATTATGGCAATTTTGGCAGATGTTCTGGAGACCAAGAACTTAATTTTATTGTCTGGTGCATGTAATTTATAAGCTTTCATAAAAACATTGATTAAAATAAACAGAACCGGTCCTACTGATTTCTATGAGTAGATCATGGGTATCAAATAGACTTGTCTAGAGGTTGTCTTTGCAAAAAATGACAACATATTGTAAAATAGAGAACTTTTTTATCTACTTTGCTTTATAATGTATTATAACTATATTATGTATAGTTGCTTAAAAAGTTGCAAGAAAACTTTAGAGTAGTGAGAAGAAAGTAAGCAAAATGAATTTAAATCCTTGCCAAGGTAATTTCAGCTGCCATAAAAAGTTAAATATTTTATATGAACATCAACAGATAAAAGACAAAAAAAATCTCCTAGAGAGACTGAGAGCTTGGTTTATTCTTTTGCAATTTAGTGTTATGAACATCAAACAACACCTCTGGTTACTCCCTCTTTCTGGCCTCCAGAAACAGAACCTCTTTTCTGAGAACAGACAAGTCAAAAGGAGAATAGAATTTTCTTATTTTCCCAGGCAGAGAAGAGAATGAATCCACTTGTCCTATATTTTGGTAAATCTTACTACCACAAGAATCATTCTGGGGGTTCCTACTTCCACGTTTTAAAAGTCAATTTCATTGCTTTGTTTTTTGAGTGAGGAAAAGAGCACGGCCACTTTCTCCAGTTGCTTTGGTTCTGGACCACACCTACCTTACCCCTATCAGTCTGATTCCTGTAGCTGGCACTAAATTCCACTCACATTTCACCCCCCAGTAGCTGGCAATTAATCCTTTCATGTCACACACACACAAGGTCACAGTCACACTAGATTCCCAGCAGTAGTTGGTCTGGGAGCACATACAATTCCCATCCAAGTTGCTGGGAGTAGAAGACCCACACTTGTCCCAGTAAACAGCATTGAGACTCCCCCACTTGCTCACATCGCAGACCCTGTAGGCTTACACCTCATGTCTGAATCCAGTAGCTGGCACTAAATCTCAGTCCTACACACAAGACATACCAATGGCCTGTTTGCTTCCCAGACCTGACTCCAGTAACTCACTGTCCTTCGTTCACTCACACACCGCTCTCACCAAGAGCTATCACATTATCCTCGTAGTGTGCATACACACAAAAGAGAGTGTGAATACACAAAGAGAGTTAAGGGGAGATTCATTGAGAAAACATAAGACAGGACAAACTGTAGTGATACAGTGCAGGTCTCAGCTAGATGATAAGTGACTGACAAGCCTAGTTTCACATGTATCGCTCATTTATACCCTTTTCTACCTATCCTTCTATGTTTGTCCTTTCCTTGCATACCTTTCTGAGGTTGCTGAGCTCTGCATTTTCTGCACTCTCCCAATCTGGTCAGCTTCAAAATCCAGGCTGATCTTCCTGGAAACAGTGTCTACAGTGTGATAGGCCATCAGTCTGTGTGGGAGAAGTGATTCTTGCCATTGTCTCAAGTTTTCTTCGGCAGATCTGTGTCTCAGCATTTTCATTACTGTTCCCCCTTTAGTTATCATCCTGATGTAGAAATCCTCACTTAGATAACCTTACTTTTATCAGTATTCTCACACTCCATCTCTGTATTTCTCAATTTGTACAACCAGCCAGGTTTCTATCTGGTCACTGTCTCCCTGTTTAGAAGTTCTCAATGATATTAACCCAGCTGAAATAGACATTCCCACAGTCCTAAATGTCCACATCAATTAATCTGGCTGACTAGACTTTGTTCATGGCACTACTTGCCTTTCTTATTATTCCATGTTGCACTGGAAAATATACTCTACTGGACACCCTGGAACAAACGCTCTCCTTCTCCATGCTTTTTCAACATTGCAGAATCTAGCATTGTTAGTATTCTATCAAGAATAGAATAAGAGAGTGAGAAACCCACAGTTTCTAGTGTGCTGAAGATACGGTCCACAAATAAAAGCTTGTTGAGGTGGTAATGGACAGCTCAGATTTTTTCAATCAGAGGAATAACTGTTTTCCTTCATTAACTCATTCAATCACAAGTAGACATGTGTGGCCCAGCAGTCTTTATCAACATCTCTACTTACATAGAATGTATTCACATAAAAGTAAATAAGCCTAACATATCTACTGATTTGAGAACAATTTGGCCTTATGCAAGACATTGTGTTGCGCTGCATTATATATAAAATATATATATGTATTGATTGGATATATATTGGTGTGCCTTATAGTGAACAAGTATGATAACCTTGCAAACAATAAAGAAATCCTACAGGACAAATATGCATGTCTTCACCCAGACAAGGCATCACTATGATCAAGATATTATAGCTCCAAGATGATGCCATAAGGAAACAGCTCTTTCAAAGATGAACAAAGCACCTGTGAAATCTCTGTCGGCAAATCCATCACCTTTCTTTTCCTCTACCCTGTGTCCTACAAAAAAGATAAAATATAAAGCTAGTTGAACGCTTACAAACTTTTCTCTTTCCCTAAAATTTTCATCAGAGAATCAAAGCTCTAAGAATTCATAGTTCAGAGTTCCAAAGAGTCAATTGGACGCCTTATAAAAAAATGGGACTTAAACTCCAAATTCTAAATGTATGATGAGTGTGAGGGATATCAGCCCTTTAAACCACAACCCATGCAGCAGTGAAATTCACTGATAAGTTAATAAAGTTCTCTCATGATGACTCTCATTTTAAGACTGCAAGAACAGAATTCTTTCATGCTTCCCCTTCATTTTCACCTCATTCAAGAACTGGCGAGTCCTGCACTGTGGTAGCAAAATATAATTTTGTTGCTTTATTTCTAAGGAGAGGAAGAAACATTTTCTCTACTTTCAATTTTATCCTACATTTGAGCAAATCCACAGGTCAATTCTATTCTTGCAAGGGATGTATTGGCTTTTCTCTACACATTGAGCTGTTAACAACACTTCGTGTCCACACAACCACATTTCCTGTATTGTAGTTTACTACTAACTTTTTGAAATGAAACACTCCTGAGGTGAAAAGGCAGTTCCAAGCCAATTTGGGTAGAAGCACAGAAAAATAGCAAAAATTTTTTACTGATCAGTAGATCAGCATTTTTACAAGCTCTTGTAATATTTGAGGGTTCAATGGAGAAGTCAAAGGAGAGACCAAGTGAAAGTGAACTATTTTTTCTACACATTGAATTTTTACTTTACCAGTATTAGCTTGTTTCCACCCTCTCAACAGGTGAAAAATAAACCACCCTAGTTTATTCACGTTAGGCATTTCAGTTCCCACTAAAGTAGTGAATGATTGTGTTTAAATACTATGTGTAGTTTGGGCAGTTTTTATTTGAAGCGCAAGAAGAAATTGAAATGAGTTTTCTAACATAATGGATGTTCCTTTCTCTTTCTAGTTTTACAATGGAACATCTCGCAAGGCAATACAATCTATTACCTTTTTCCTCAGATACATTATTTATGGTAACTGTAAGAGCGTGCTTCATTTTTCTTACAATGAATTCTTGCAAGCTACCCAAATGTGAATTTGTATTATTATCTGAAAATATATGTTGTTGCAAAAAATTCTAACAGATCTTACGTTGGATGTGAACACTCAGATGCTCTGCATTTAGCACTGCCTGAAAGGCTTAGTTTGAACTTCAACTGTTATATGATCTACAAATTACAAAAATACAAATGGTAAAGGTTTATGCACAAAACTAAGAGACCAAGGGGATGATAACCAAAAACAAATAAGGAAGGAGACAAAAAGAACGAATCCCTTAGATTAATTATTAATTCTGATGAAAAACTGACTTGGCTTTCCTGCTCTCACCTATGCAAAACTCAAGCCAAAGTTTCATAACTGTATATGTTTACCTATCACATGACTTATTACTGATTAACTAATATGAATATCTTAAGAATTATTGGAAGAACCCTTTTATGTAATTACTGGCTTGTCTAGACATTGCCAATGACTTTTTAATTTGATCCCTTCATTTTCTACCCTCTGAGATATCTTTTATGTCATTGCACAATAAAACATAGAAAAAGTTCTGTAGAAGGGTATCTCTGCTCTTCCCAGACAAGAGCTACCATAGAAACTGCAATTAGATCTGAAGTATGTGTGGGGGTACAGAACTCAAAGACTTACAGATCTGGCCAGTCTTACAAGCTTCAGGACTCCTAATGAAGAACTCCTATTTTTACCTGCTTTGTCTCCTGCCCTGTCTCTCCAGTTGAATCTCCAGAAGCAGCTGGCCAGGAAGCAAGAGATCTTTTCCCATTTTGACCTGTCCATTAGTCACAGAGTGTCAGTAGCTCTCAAGGTTCTCTGCCCAAAAGAGCATCTCAAACTTATGCATTCCCAAACAAAGCATAGTATTGAATAAAGCTCTGGAGCAGAGCCTATACATGGAGCCCATTCCCTCACATAGCTTCCTTTTAGTGAGAAGTCTTAATCCTTTAAACTAGGTTCACAGTTTCTTACAAATTATATTTCCACCAACTGGCTCCGAACTTCTCTAATTTCATGCATGGGTAATTTTTACTGCTTCCTAAAACACACAAAAAGGTGTTACTGCTCAAATTGAACTCTAAAACATCTTGTGCTAGAGAAAGAAATACTTCATGGGAATGAGAGCAGCTAAACAAATGGGTAAGTAATTAAAATAAATACTTAACATGATACTCTT